AGAAAGAATTTACTCTCATCACAGGTTTTACGTAAAACCATCTGTAGCATCATGTCTGTCTCATAACGGTTCTCAACAACTGAAATGCCTTCCAATGGAAAATAAATGGTTTATAAAAGTGTGTTCAATTTTCCAACATTACTACATCTTTACCAGACCACAACTGGTTAAGATATTGCAAACCCAAACCTCAAGGCTGGTCTATGCAGCAATCCTTGGCCCCACCTTAAAAGACATACTTTAATAATAATTATTCTTATTCCCAAAATAGTTTTAACTTGGTGACTAGATCCTTATAAAATATTATATATATCAAACCAGCAGACTCAATAATAAATTCTACATTCAGGAAATATAAACACACAAAACCTAATAAACTACTTAGAAACTAAAGATGGCTTCCACTTTTAGAAAGAAAACTTCAAGACATAATTTAGAAAAGGGGTCTTCACATGGTAGTCAGTCTTACTGACATAAACTGATAAAGAACATAATACAATGACAAAGAACAGTGCCTAAAAATAAAGATACCCCATGATATGAACGTGAAAAATGCTCACTAGGTTATAAATTTAAGCCCAATAAACATCACTGTTCTTTTAAATGACCAGTCAAAATAACTATTCTTTTCTAACAGCCTACAGTCTATTGTATTCCTTCTCTCTCCTTTTAACATGTGTTTAAGCAAAAGATTTTTAATAGTATACATCACTTCTTGCATACGATACCCCGTAGTTAAAAGAGGGCAGGGATACCAACACAGAACAAACATATTGCCTAAATGCATGATTCATACATATAGCCCCTAAAATAACATACCGTACCATTTTACACAGGGGCATAATTGGACTATTTTTAGGCCCTGCTTAATGCTTCACATTTGTTGTACATCCAGAATGAAGGGCCAAGTTACTTTGATTTCATTTAGATTTAAAGTTGATAAAGAGGGATCCCTGGGTGGCACAGCGGTTTGGCGCCTGCCTTTGGCCCAGGGCGCGATCCTGGAGACCCGGGATCGAATCCCACGTCGGGCTCCTGGTGCATGGAGCCTGCTTCCCCCTCTGCCTGTGTCTCTGCCTCTCTCTCTCTCACTGTGTGCCTATCATAAATAAAAATAAAAATTTAAAAAAAAAATAAAGTTGATAAAGAGGTTAAAAAGCATCCTCTCCCATTCTGTCTCTTAAAAACAGGCTATAAAGCAACAGAAATCTTTTTTCCTGAGCTCCTAACAGGCATCCTTTCCTAATTCCCCAGCTGAAGATAAAACACTGTACCTAATAAGGGGCAGTCTCCCAGGGCCCCAGCACCAATTCCATCCTGCCAATACTGATGCTCCCCAAAAGCCAAGGATAACCAATCCATTTGCCAGGCTAGTATCGTCAAGCTACAAACAAACGCTTTATTTTCTAGATCAATGGCGGTTAAGGATACTCCATGACTAGTATGAGTCCAAAAGCAGTATGTCCCAAAGATCTCTCTGGCGTGCTACAACATGCTTGAGAGTCACCTGCAAAGATCCAGCTCATGCCCCGACCCACAAGGCACTCTCATCGCAGGTTCCCACACCTCCTGCACATCTGCTGCACATGTGGGACTCTCAATTAAAATACATGTTCTCTTGTTACATGCCTGTACACATTTGTCAAAATTGCACATTTTGCTGTATGTAACTATGCCTCAATAAAAATTTAAAGGTTAAACAGATGTTTAGACTCTTTTGCAGACCTGAAGGTTTTTTTTTAAGCTTCTGAGTGATTCCATGCGAGAACTGCTCTGCGTTACACTGCATGTACCTTCCCCCACTCAAAAATGGGAAGAGTCAAGAACACTGGTCTGAAGTCAGACATCTAGAATCAAAAGACAGCTCCATTATCAACTCACTATTATGCCCTTGGACAAAGGACAAACTTCACTAACATTGTTTCTTCATCTGGAAACCCAGGATAAAAAAATACCTACCACACAGGATAGCTGTGAGACTTGAATGATATGTCTATAAAATACACAGCAGTATCTAACACAAACAAGCAAGCACTATATAGCTATCATTAGCATCTTTGTTTCCATCATGTTAAATCATTCTTTACTTGGTATTTCTCTCAATCCTATGAGACAGTCCACCTAATCTAAAACTTCCAAAGAACTTCTTAGACACAGACATGCCTAGCCTCCCTAATGCCTGTGTAAGTTCAGGATGAGAACAGGTTTGAGAATCACACTGCTCTAGGGAACATGTGTAGCAAACAGGACTGCAACCAGGGCCCACAAGAATTCCTAAAATAAAATGAGTAGCTCCTTCTAGTTTCAAATGACGACTAGTCTCCTCCCTTTAGACAAGTATTGTAAGGACATCAGAACCGGGCTTGCTAATCTCAAAAGAATGGTGGCACCACCCTATACCCAACTTTCCCAAAGATAAAATCAGAGATTTAGTCTTTATTGAATTTTCTCAAAGTTAAAAACCATTCTTGGAGGGTTCAGCAATCAACAGGATGCCTCTCCATCTAACAGGTGCATCCCTGAGTAGTAAAAGAAAAAACAAATGGAAGAACAATACTTTGTTTATTTCTTTGGCAGGTCTCATTACCTGAGAGATAGCTTTCATGATTTATCACAGAAAGCAGTAAAGGGAACCATGGCAAACAGACATAAAAACAAAAAATAAGTCCTACAACGTATTTGTCTTCGTTCCTTAAAAGACATCTCAAAATCACCTTATATGCCACCCCATTCCCCATTATAGTCTAAACCAGAGTTTTCCAGAGCTGTCTGAGCCACCTGTACCTACACAATACAACTTTTAAAATGCAGCTTCTTAGAACTCTCTCCAGATTCTGATTTTTAAAAAAAAAGTTGGACCCACGGAATCTTCATTTTTAACTTCCAAGGTCATTTTTATGTTCAAAATTTGGAAGCACTTCCACAGTAGCTAGAAATTTTCACCACCAGGTAAACCTTGAATACAAAAGATGACGATTATGCTTGGATTTAGAGCAATGAAGAAACAGCTAACAGAATATGAACAATTTAATAAAGCACAGTGGTTAAGAGGATGTATGAAGCTGGACTTCCTGAATTTACATCTCTATTCCACCTCTCACAAGCCATTTTGCAAGAGGCAAATGTGCCAGAGTTTTTTCATCTGTAAAATGAAATACTACCACCTACCTCAGAGTTATGAGTACTAATGAGTCATTAAAGCTCTCAGAAGAGTGAAAAAAAAAATTTTTTTTTTGAGGAGTGCTACCCCTGAATTTTTTTTTTTTTAAGGTTTATTTATTATAGACAGAGAGAGGCAGAGACACAGGAGGGGGGAGAAGCAGGCCCCATGTCAGAAGCCCGACGTGGGACTCGCTGGGTGGCTCAGCGGTTTGGCGCCTGCCTTTGGCCCGGGGCACGATCCTGGAGTGCAAAAATTTTTAAGAGTACCTGAACACTGCAAACACCCAAAATACAATACTCATTTAGAATCCTTATGGCTGGGGATCCCTGGGTGGCTCAGCGGTTTAGCACCTGCCTTCTGTCCAGGGCGTGATCCTGGAGTCCCGGGATCGAGTCCCACATCAGGCTCCTGGCATGGAGCCTGCTTCTCCCTCCTCCTGTCTCTGCCCCTCTCTCTGTGTGTGTGTCTCTCATGAATAAAGAAAATCATCTTAAAAAAAAAAAAAAAAAAGAATCCTTATGGTCAATGGCCAAAAAGAGTTGGCTGCACGGCTGGGATTCTTATTTGCTAAGTCTCTGGAATTTACATCCATTTCTAACAATGTAGTACAAAACCATTAAGGAATATTGTACATTGCTTAAAAATCAGATGCTTCTCAAATAAAAAAACAGACCAGGTAACTGGCTCGAAAAATGATATAGGTTGAAAGCAGTTAATCCCTCTTCCAATAGAAAAGGACAAAATAATCGAGACTCCCAAATTTTTCACAGCGAAACAGGGCTACATTTAACATTTAATCATCCAACCGCAGAAGATAAAAGTAAAGCAACCAGGTGGTTGGGCTAAGATAGAAGACTATCCAATAAAGACCTCACACTCATCCTGCCACTTTCCCTCACTCTTATAATCTGCATTTAAAACAAGCTGATTTCCTGAAAGAGAAATCTGGCAACGACAGAAAAAAAAAAAATCTAACCGTATGTAAAATGACACTGTGTGATAAAGCTCATACTAGAGTATTAAGACAGTGGATACTTTCAACAGTAGCAAAGGCTGCTAGACAGAGCACCTGAAACGAAGACCTGAAAAGCAAAGGAAATATCTGGACTAGATCACAATGCAGAAAAAGCAGCCTGATAATAAAATGAAGAAACGGATTCTCCGGAAAGAGCACGTGCAACTGCCAAGGCGAGATTCCCTCAAAAGATAAAGCCTTCATGCCCAGAATGCTACAGTCCTGAATCGTGAGTATCAGCAAATGAATGCAAAGAAAACAGACATATCTGGCGAGAGATGACCCGAATTCTCACGGGAGGAAAAGCAGCCAAAGCTTAAGTGCACAGAATACGGAATCCAGTTTCAGGCCTGCAAGCAACTCAAGGGCCAGTTAATCATTTTCCAGGAAGCCTGAAATCTTCAGATTAAAGGGATTGGAAACCCACGGAAGACAGACATTGGCGATTCAAAGGAATGAGGGGGAGGGGAGGCGGTGGAAAAGAGTCAAAAGCAGCCTTCCCAAGGATAAAATCACGTGACTCGCGGGCAAAGACTACCCAAGGAGCCAGGAGCTAAGGGGCGGGAGAGTCCTGGGTAAAGCCCCTCCACTTCCCTAACCCGGGAGCGCGGACCAATGCGCGCGAGGGCTGGGGGCGGGGGTGCCCGAATCCCCAATACCCCGAGCTTGCTTGCACCCAAGGCCTCCAGTCGGCTGTCAGCCCCTGCACCAACCTGGGACCACCGTGCGGGGGCACTGTCCCCGCACCCGCGCGCGGGAAAAACGGCGGCCGGGCCGGAAGGGGGCAGGGCGAGTCGCGAGGACGACCCGCCGGGCACTTACGCTGCCGCTTCTTCCTAAGGCTTTCGACGCGCTGGCGGGAGACCGAGGGGGCGCCGCTGTAGGAGCCAGGCCGGCTTCGCCGAACGCCCTCCGCCGAGGCCGAGGCGCCGACGGGGGGCTCCGACGCGCTGCTCGCCCGGCGCCGCAGCAGCTCCCGCCGCCGCCCATCAGGCCCTTCGGGCGCCGGCTCCCCCGCCGACGAGGCGGAGGCGTCGGCCGCTCTGCCGTGGCGCTCCATGGCCATGCCGAGCCGGCCCGCTCCCATCCGCAGCAGCCACCGCTGCCGCCCGAGCCAGGCCCCCAGCGCCGAGCCCCTCGTCGCCTCCTCCGCGGCAGCCCAGCCCAAGCAGAAGCGCACCCTCCGCCGGCCGCCTCTTCCGTTGCGCCAACGCGCAGCAAGCCAATCCGCATAGGCCGGGGGCGGCACGACGGCCTCGCGCCCAATCGTCTCCCTCCCTCGAGGCGGATCGACCGCGCCTCCGTCCAATGAAAGGCTGCCGGGGACGGGGCGGGGCGGAGAGCGGCGGGGGAGGGGATCCGCGCTCGGCCGCTGAGAGGCGGTGTTGCTGCGGGGAGAGTGATGGCGGCGCCGCCCAATGTGGGTGGAGGGGCCGGCGCGCCCGCCCGCGCAGGTGGACAGGTGCGTGCCCGGGCCTCAGCGGCCCCCGCCCCCGCCGCGGCGGGGCTCTCGCGGCCGGCACCCTCCTCCCGCCCGGCGCTGTGCCCCCCGGCGTCTGGCCGTTGGCCGGAGAGAGGCTTGAACCGCGGCTGACCTTAGCCTTTGTCCGTCGCCTCGGTGCCGCCGTCGCCGTCGAGACCGCCAGCCCCTCCGCGCTACATTTCTTTTTTTACCACCACTCGGTCCCCCAGCGCGGCCACGGGCGCGTCAGGGCCGAGCCCCGCGCCGTTCCGCCCGCGTTGGAGAAATGTTCCCGGTACCAGAAGGAATGAAAGGACTTGGGGCTGGTCTCCATGGCAACTGGGAGAAAGAGGTGGGTAATAAATCCGTCGCCGCTCTCCTGCGCTGAAGGCGGGGGTGTGGGAGCCGGGGAGTGGGGTTGGCTCTTTGAAGGACAGTCTGTACTCCTTTTCTGTGCGGCGCCCTGGGGGGACGTAGGATCTGGTGGCTCCCTTGGAGCCTGGGTTGTTAGGAGTGCGGGCGCGCGCGTTAATCGGTCTCTTCCCTTTGCAGGGGGGTGGGAGGCGGCGGGACCAGAGTCCTCTCCAGCCCTGAGGTAGTGACCACTCATCTACCAAAGGCCCTTTCAACCATTCCTCTCCAAAGGCTACCCTAGCCTGAAGTGATCCCGCCTTGTTCTTTACCCTCAGGGCACTCCCTCACTCCATCAAGTTGAGCGGGACAGTGGGTTTTTCTAGCTTGCTAATCATTGGTAAGTGCCTCCCTTGGGACGCTGCAGTGTTCCTTGGACGATAGCCCTCATTTTCTTCACCTTTCCAGTAGTGACTGCTAGTAGCCGGCTGAACAAAAAAAAAAAAAAAAAAAGATGAGCTTCTCTATTGCTTGTTGAACAAAACTAACCATGTTCCCTCCAAACTAGCCCCCCTCACTGTAGGGATAACTCTGGAAACCCTATATCCAAACTCTGGAAATTCCAGCTCCTGCAAGAAGCCACCCCAGATGGATCCTACAAGAACCAAGAACACCTGTAGCTAGTCTTCTAAATCTCCGTGCCCGGTGTGGCCTTTCTGTCTACCCCCCACCAATATAGTCCTCCTTAACCTGAGGGAGCTTTCATCCAAGCCGTGAGTTCTGAAGAATCAGGAATCACTACCATCATCCAAGGCTGCCAAGATGACCCCCAAGAGCAAAACAACACCTGAAATATGGTAGTTTGGTTTTTGGCTTTTACAGTGTACAAAGTGCCTTTACATGTCATTTAATCCTCCCAGCAACACTGGGACGATGAAGAAAACTTAACCAGAGGCACACAGCTTAAAAAATGACAGAGCCTGGATTCCTGAGAAGTTCACCTGCTCTCTGTCTTCCAGTAACCAAAAGACACAGATTCAGTAAAATTCCAATAAGTTTCTAGAAGGCGTTTTGTCCTCCCAAATAAATATGTCTCTCTCCTCTCTGGTGTGAACCTACAGTTTATGGCTATCATTGAAGTTTATCCAAAATAACAGATGAAGCATACGCTAATGGCAAGACGTTTATAATCCTAAATGAAAACTGCAAATAAATTGAGCGAAAGTAACCAGACATGAAAGAATACATACCATATGATTTATGTAAAGTTCAACGTTAATAAAAGATCTTAGAAGTCAGGATGATGGTGTTTTGTGGGGGAAAGGGAAGAGTAGTGATGACAGGACAATAGAGAGACTTCTCTTAAGACTGGGAGTGTTCATTTTCTGTAGTCTGGGTGGTAGCTACGTAGGTGTGTTCACTGTAATATGTCATCAAGACGTTCACTTGTGCACTTTTCTGTATGTTTTACTTAAACATTTATTTAAAAAAATAACTTGAAGATTTGTCTTGGAGCATCGTTGGTTTTTGAGAGTTTTGTTTTTCCAAAAGTTCATACGAATGTAGTGATTAAGAGGTTTCCTTTCTCTCTGGTTATTATAACAGTTTATAGGGAGAGTATCATTAAGTTTTTCTATCACTTCTCTTAGTTATTTACCCTTGGGGAGAACCAGCTTTCTGGTATCACACCAGAATAAGAAGCACTGAGGTCATAATAAGCATAGTGTTTTGGAGGAACCAATCAAATTCTAAAGTAATAATTTGCAGATCTAGAGCCATTTCAGTGACAAAACATCACACAGAATACACATCTACCATATTAGGTGCCTTTTGCTAGGTCAGAAATAAGCCCAAAACTTAGTGGCTGAGTAATAAATATATATTATCTCAGTTTCTGTGGGTCAAGAATTTAGGAGTAATTAGCTGGGTGGTTCTGGCTGGGGGTGTTTCATGAAGTTGCAGTCATTTGAGGGCATATGGGCTGGAGGATACACTTCCAAGATGGCTTATTCACGTGACTGGCAAGCTGTAACTAGCTTTTGGCAGAAGGCCTCAGCTCCCACAACATGGGCAGGCCTCTTCATTGGGTTGCTTGAGTGTCCTCACAACATGACAGCTGGCTTCTCCCAAAGGAAAAACATGGAGAAGTCACAGTATCTTTTAAGATCTAGCCTAGGAAGTCATACTCCCATCATTACTGCAATATGCTATTATACAGATCAGCCCTCTTCAAAGTAGTTTATACTACACAAAGATGTGAATACCAGGAGGGAGAGAGTCATTGGAGGCCATGCCCTCTGGCCCCCAGAGGATGTGAGAAGATTCACATCCTCATCTCTTAGAACTTTCTAAGAGCCAGGGGCCAGACCATCTCTGAATGTCTGTAGAGCTTTCTTGCAGCTAAAGTAGAGCATCACTGGGGAGTAAAAAATTAAAAGTATGATCACAAGAGTACCAAGCCACAGAGATATAGACCAACTTCTTTCCCTTTTCACTGGTCTGTATTAGTGCCAGGAAGATGAAAAGATAAAATCAGGCCCCTTTCAAACACAAGGTCTTTTTTCCAGAGTATAATGGTGTGGAGAATTTGGGAAAACCTTACTTACTATCTCTCCCTATTCATAAAGATGAAAAAAACAAAGTTAGTAAGCCCCTAGACATTATTCCAGGGCCTGACCCCTGGCCCAGAATCCACTACTGCAGAGGGATAGGAATGTATGTTATATGTGCATGTACACACACACACACACACACACACACAGTATAGCTAGCATGTGGCATTCTGGTCGTCTCACCAGAGCTCACAGGCAATGTGAAAGTGTTGTCTGCTTTCAGACATAAGGCTTAACTTGTCTCAGGGGAAGAGAGACAGAAATATCCAAGATGAGGGACGGCTGGGTGGCTCAGCGGTTGAGCATCTGTCTGCCTTTGGCTCAGGGCGTGATCCTGGGGTCCTGGGATCAAGTCCTGCATCAGGTTTCCCGCATGGAGCCTGCTTCTCCCTCTGCCTGTGTCTCTGCCTCTCTGTGTGTGTGTCTCTCGTGAATAAATAAAATCTTAAAAATCCAAGATGAAATAGAGTTTAGAGCAACTCAGAGTTTCCTAGACATGGAAGATCCTATCCCTTCCCAAGTATTAAAAGGGTTGAAAACTTTTCTTTTTTCAAGCTCACAACCTTTCTTATCTTTTTTTTTTTTAAAGATTTTATTTATTCATAGGCACAGAGAGAGAGAGAGGCAGAGACACAGGGAGAGGGGGAAGCAAGCTCCATGCAGGGAGCCCAATGTGGGACTTGATCCCGAGTCTCCAGGATCACACCCAAGGCTGCAGGCAGCGCCAAACTGCTGCGCCACCAGGGCTGCCCCTTTCTTCTCTTTAAATATCCCTGATTTGGATACTATTACCAGATAACAACTAATGACTTAGCACTACGCTCAAATAAGTCTGGGAAATATAAGGTAAGCTTAAGTGCTTCTTAAAGCTTTTAATACGCTGAAGGGCATGATGTATCTCCAAGAGGAAGCTGAGGTATGTAGCTATCTTCCAAATGTAATTGTGGAATCCTTTTTTTCACAGAATCTTTTCCTTAGACACACTTTGGGAAATTCATCTCTGGATATACAAATCACTCGCATCTCTGTTATATTAAAGACAGGAAAGATCTAGTTCTTTCCGTTTTGAAAGCCTGGTGGTGGAACACGTGGGTGGCTCAGTGGTTGACCATCTGCCTTCAGCTGGGTCATGGTCCCAGGGTCATGGAATCAAGTCCTGCATTGGGTTCCCCATGGGGAGCCTACTTCTCCCTCTGCCTGTGTCTCTGCCTCTCTCTCTGTATGTCTCATGAATAAATCTTAAAAAAGAAAGCCTAGTGGCTTACTTATTTTTAGAGAGGACAAGGGGCAGAGAAAGAGAATTTTTTTAAGATTTTATTTATTTATTCATGAGAGACACATACACAGAGAGAAAGAGAGGCAGAGACACAGGCAGAGGGAGAAGCAGGCTCCATGCAGGGAGCCTGACGTGGGACTCCATTCGGATGTGGGACTCAATCCCGGGTCTCCAGAATCACCCCCTGGGCTGAAGGCTGAGCCACCCGGGCTGCCCAGAGAGAGAATCTTAAGGTGGCTCCATGCCCATCGCTGAGCCCAACATGGGGCTCCATTTCACGACCCTGAGATCATGACCTGAGCCCAAATAAAGAGATGGATGCTTAACTGACTGAGCCATCCAAGTGCCCCAGGTTGACTACTATTATTATCTTTATCCCCAATTAAACCTTCAGTAGCCCACCCCCACCCCACCCCTGTTACCTGCAGCTTCACTTTCCCAGGCTTAGGGACTTGAAGTAGTCAGCCAGGGCCTTGAGTAGATGATCTTCCTTCTGAAATACTGTCAGAAGGTCACTAGTAGCCAATGGCTACATCACAACACTTACACCATTCCTCTCACTTCATCTCATCACGTTGGTATTTTATTATCACATCATCACAAGAAAAAGGGTGAGTACAGTCTAATAAGAGACCACATTGATATAACTTATTATGATAAGCTCTTAAAATTGTTCTATTTTGTCATTGCATTAATCTCCTACTGTGCCTAATTTATAAATTAAACTTTATCATAGGTGTGTATTGACAGGAAAAACCTGTATATATAGGGTTTGGTACTATCTCTGGTTTCAGGAATTCACTAGGGGTCTTGGAACATATCCATTGCAGACAAGGAGAAACCATCTTTGCAAAAGCATCTATTTTCTGAAAACAAATTTGTTCTCTTTCAACTTAGCTCCCCTTTCCTCCGTTCTCTTAATAGCACTGCCATTTCTGTTCCTCTAGGCAAGTGATTCTTCCCTCTCGTGTCCCCCTTGAGTCCAGCACTGTTCAATAGTAATATAATGAAAACCACATGTGTAATTTAAATTTCCTAGTGGCCACATATTTAAAAGTAAAAAGAAATGGGCAAGGGGATCCCTGGGTGGCTCAGCGGTTTCGTGTCTGCTTTTGGCCCAGGGCATGATCCTGGAGTCTCAGATCGAGTCCCGCGTCGAGCTCCCAGCATGGAGCCTGCTTCTCCCTCTGTCTGTGTCTCTGCCTCTCTCTCTCTCTATGTCTATCATAAATAAATAAAAATAAATCTTTAATAAAAAATGGGCAAAATTAATTTTATTAGTATATTTTATTTAACTCAAAATATCCAAAACGTTAGTATTTCAACATGTGGCACTAGTCACATTAAAAGTGATCAATAATGGAGCCTAGCTTGGTCAGTATGAAAAGCACACAACTCTTGATCTCTGAGTTGTAAGTTCAAGCCCAATATTGGGTATAGAGATTACTAAAACTAAATAAACAACAACAAAAAATATGATCAAGGGACACCTGGGTGGCTCAGCAGTTGGGCACCTGTCTTTGGCTCAGGTCGTGATCCCAGGATCCAAGATCAAGTCCTGCATCGGGCTCCCTGGGAAAAGCCTGCTTCTCCCTATGCCTATGTGTCTCTCTCTCACTCTGTGTCTCCCCTGAATAAATAAATCTTTACCAAAAAAAAAAAAAAAAAAAACCACAAGTGTCTAATTTGATAAAATTAGACCAAAAAAAAAAAAAGCTCTGCTCATTAACTTATTTCAGTTGCCTCCTAAATGTTTGTTCTGCCTCTGGTTTACTTTCCAGGCCCGCTGCTCCCAGATTAATCTTATTAAACCAATGTTCTGATATAATCTCCCCTGTTTAAAAGGTCTTCATGAGGGGTGTCTTGGTAGCTAGGTCCGTTGAGCCTCTGACTCTTGATCTCAGCTCAGCTCTTGATCTCAGGGTCACAAATTCATTCCCCACCGTGGGCTCCACGCTATGCGTGGGGCCTACTTAAAAACAAAAAAGAAAAAAAAAACTTTCAATGGCTTCTTGGCCTACAGAACAAAGTCCAAAACACTTAACATCCAAGGATTCCCACATTTAGCATCTTTCCATTTTTCCTCATTACTTTCCATATGCTTGCACAGTGTGTTCTAGCAAAATGAATCTCCCAGTTCTCCAGACAGACTCAATTCTTACCCAGATGTAAAACTCATCCTTCATCTATACGAAATTCCTTCCCACCACACTTCTGCATAATCAAAATTCAACCCAACTTCCATGGCTTAGCCCAAAAGATACCTCCTTCTTAAAGTCTTCACTGATTACAGCTATGAACCTTCCAATATTTTATAATGTGTCACTCAATTACATGTATCACATACTTCCCTATTTTAACATTCTTGGTGTACATGTTTTATAATCTCAGATTATGAGAGCTATTAGGATAAAAACTGACATCTTCATATTCCCCACAGTGCCTTTCACAGAGTAATACACAGTGTGTTAACAAATGATCACAGTGGCAATAACAATTTTGGGATCCTTTAAAATACTAACATCTTTGTAGTAGACAATGTTTCATACCTAACACCTCCCAATCATTCCCTCTTCTCCCAGAAATCCCTCTATCTACCTGTCGATTAGACCCCAATGGCCATGTT